CTTTCAGCATCAATCAACTCCGAAGAGGTTTGGAGTTTTTTTTCCTGCTCTCTCTCTCTCACTTAAAAGTGGCATTCTGCTTTAACCCAAAAAAAATCCTTGGAGCAGTGCTCTGCAAGATGTCATTTTTACGACGGGAGATTTGTTTAAGTTACTAAAAAAAAATTATTTCCCCCCCCCCCACCACCCCGTTCATAAGTTGTCCATCACTTTGGCGTTTGTGTTTACACGGCTGACAGACCCCGGTGGTTGGAGCGCGCACGGCTTGGGACGTAACAGGAGGTGGCAGTACAGCAAATAGGTTGCTGACCTGCATCTGTCGAGGCTTATCGGCGATGCGCCTCTTCGGCAGAGGCAGCAGTCACTCGTGGGTGCTGTGGGTATCTGCACTTGTGGTGGGGGTTATGATGCCCCAATGGGGGGAGGGGGGGGGGTCCCCTTTTAATTTATAAGCTCTGATAGAGAGATGACAGACGAGACAGGCAGGAGAGAGTAACAACGTGAGGTGAGAGAGCGAGAGTGGTACAGAGGAGAGACGAATGTTGAACGAGGTGAGAGGAGAAGGGAGATTGCACCGGTCGACAGCCAAAACGCTTCCCAAATAAATGTAGCCCAACTTTACTAATTCTGGGTCACTGAGAATGAAAATGATGCTTAAAGTTGTTGATTGGCTCTATATTCTTAGGTTTTTTCGGTAAAGTCACGTAGGTAAAACATTAAAATTAATAAAAGTAAAATAAAATAAAAATCACGACGTTTCGGAGGCAACACAAGCTTCCGTCTTCAGGTGGAACCGTCACAGCACGATAGCTGTATCAAGTAAGACGGTTCCACCTGAAGACGGAAGCTTGTGTTGCCTCCGAAACGTCGTGATTTTTATTTTATTTTACTTTTATTAATTTTAATGTTTTACCTACGAGACTTTATGGAAAAAAACTAAGAATATGAATCCTTGCAGTCACGAAAGCTTCAAATCTAGAATTGATTGGCTCTAGTTTTCAAGATATGCTACTGGGTCAGTATCTACGACCCTTGATTTGGAAATGGCAGAGGATAAGTGAGTTATATTTTCATTTAAAGCTTTCGTGACTGCAGGGATTCATATTCTTGGTTCTTTTGGTAAAGTCACGTAGAAGGGAAATAATAAAATAATAAAAATATTAAACAATAACATTCTCACGACGTTTCGACTGCAACACAATCAATCATCATCAGGTGTGAAAAACACAGCAAGAAAATTTGAAAAAAAGTGGCGGTTTTTTCATAGATAAGTGAATTATGAAGGGAAGGGATCTCAATTTCAACCAGAAATTACTCAAATACATATTTGACTAGATCTATGAATAAATCTATGACTGGGTTTGGACAGTACTTGCTTATTGAGAAAATCATGAATGATGCAATCTGAACCTGGTATTGCATCATACATGATATGAATTGCATCATGTTATTCCTAGAAGTCATGGATGATGCAATCATACTAGGCTTACATCCCTCTGCTGAACAAATTGCCCAATATCAGCTCTAGAAATCATGCAGTGTCGTGCTCTCTTATTTGTCAGTGTTTGATTTTGCAAAGGGACACAGTTCTGTTTAGCCAAGGTGAGCAAAGAGATGCCTCGTACTTGTGTGAACAAAGGAGATAACTTCTGCTATGTTTGTGGTGAAGTGACTTTTGCATCACAAAAGTGCAGTATAAACCACTATAGTTAAGAAAACCTATCACCTTTATTTTGGCTGAAACATTGGAGATCAGGACAAAATGTGGGCCCCACCACTTGTTGAATCAAGGAAGATTTTGTTACCACCCTTACACATAAAGCTGGGTCTGATGAATAACTTTGTCAAAGCCATGGACAAAACACAAGTAGCTTTCAAGTACCTCCGTGGAAAATGTCCAAGGTTAAGTGAAGCTAAGATAAAGGAAGGTGTCTTTGTTGGTCCTAAGATTCGTGAACTTCTTCGAGACGATGAATTTGACAGTGCACTGCGCGGCAAGGAAAATACGGCATAGAACGCCTTCCAGTTAGTGGCAACACATTTTTTCGGAAACAAGGCAGACAACTTCAGGGAGTTGGTGGAAAACCTCCACAAGCCTGGTTGCAACATGTCACTAAAGATACATTTTTTGCACTCTCATCTATATTTTTTCCCACCGAACTGCGGAGCAGTGAGCGACAAGCATGGCAAGCGATTCCACCAGGACATTGCAACAATGGAGACACGCTCTCAGGGCAAATGGAGCCCATCAATGCTTGCAGACAATTGCTGGACAGTGACAAGAGACGCTCCGTTTAATGTAATACAAGAGACTAGCCAAGAAGCGTCGAGTAGACACTGAATAAGGACTAAACTACGTACTTTATATACATCATAGTTTTTTGTCTTTTGTTTCATAATACATTTTATTTATTTTACCCTTTTGCTAATTTTTAAAGTGTTACATGAACAGGACAGGTGACGTGCTATCATGTAAAGCAAACATTTAGACGTCAAATATAGAAACTTAACTATCTTGGGAACAGGAGCCAATCAGTCGTTTTAATTGTCATATTTAAATTCAGCACATCAAAATCCATAATGAACAACACATTTCATCTCTGAAGCAGACGATGTCTAAAAAAATTGGAGACCAGTGTTATCACGGGCAGGCATGAGAGGAATTCATTAACTTGTAAAATGTTAATTACTCGTTCTGGATTTCCTGCGATTTAAATTCTCGCTGATGATTGGATGACCCCTCTTCTTGGTTCTTTCGGTAAAGTCACGTAGAAAGACCTGTTCTCCACCTGAAGACGGCTGCTTGCGTTGTGGCCGAAACGTCGTGAGAATTATTTTATTATGTTTTATTTTTATTATTTTATTATTTTCCTTCTACGTGACTTTACCGAAAGAACCAAGAAGATGAATCCCTGCAGTCACGAAAGCTTTAAATTGGATGACCCGTTTTTTTTTCTCTATTTCTTCACAAATCCGTGGGCTCCTCAGCCGCTCGGGAACTCTTACGCTTTTGTTTAGTTTGCTTCTGCCTAGCAAAACACCCCCGGGTGTCTGGATGCCCTGAAGATTGTTCTAGGCAAGGGATAAAAGACGCCCGCGGCGTTTCGTACGAAAATCACAAATATTAGTTTTTGTGTGTCCGCGATTGTTTTATCTCTCCCTTCTAACTGCATCGACGACGGCGCCTTTAGATATCGCCGTAGCGCACGAACCGTAGGTACTGAACCACTCGTGTGAACTCCGGGTGAGATGACAGAAGAGTTATAGCCACGGGACGGATGTGAGACGTGGTGAAGGGATGGACTCGGAGTCACGTGATGTAGGCGCCACGGTGGCGAGACGTTAACTACCTCGCCCGGTGTGCAGGAGGTCGCGGGTTCAACCACCACCCTGACGCCTGGTGTATATTTGGAGTTTACGTGTTCTCTCTCTCTCTCGCCGTGGTCGCGTGGATTTTTATCCGGGTCGTCCGGTTTTTTCCCACCACATTTAAAAATCAACATGTGCGTTCAGAGGTTTTGGCTGTTGCTATACAGTTCCACGTGATGAGCCAATCGGGCCTTACCTGGTAAAATACAAATAGCTTCTATTTTACGTGGGTGTCGGCCATGTTTGAAACTTAACAAATTATTTTGTGACGCTAGCGCGTTCATTGACAGTGGCGCCCACAATCTCAAACGGCAGCAGACCACAACATCGCCCCAATTCATGACATGACTTATTTTTTCCCAACAATACATCAGATTTTAGAAAGTAGAGTCATCGACGTTTTCAGATTCATGTATGGCATGTTATCGGTTGGTCATTTGGCAAACGTATGTTTCCATATATATAAGAAAAACAATAATATCCACTCTTATTTTTGCATTGACTTTTTTGGAAAATTATTAATAAATTCCAGTTTTCCCTATGGACCGTCCCCGGCTCAGCCACACACACATGTACGCACGCATATACACTCACACACACACACACGCACACACACCCACACACAAACGACTTTTGGGGCAAGTGCTGTCAGCGGGCAGCAACACGCCTGACCACCTTTGTCTCCCTAGTCGTGATGTTTACACATCGCACCAGGTACTCGTTTAATGCTGAGTCGACCTAGGGAAGGCACATGACCGGTTCAGATAATCCTCACTTGTGTTGCCCGTTAGCACACACACCTACATACACAACAACAACCGCCATTCGCCACTAAGTGGCGGTGACATCACCACGACGCTTGTGCCAGGCTATGTGCACCTTGAGGCCACGTGAAGTGTCGAACGCCCGCTGGCAGGAGGTCACGGGGCAGACCCAGGTGCCACGGGTCGACTGACTGAGATGAGTGGCTGATGCACCACCTGTGCCCCCTACTGTGCCAACTTGCTCTGCTTTAGCCACCAGGCGCTCCGCTCGTTGTTGTGAGCGTCGCTCCTCCGCCCTCCGTTGTTGTTGGAGGGCGACTGCCTCCAACTGCCCAGTAGCGTCCTTCACGAGCCTCCTCCATAGAGGCCGATCTTGACACCGCTGGTACCAGTCATCGGCAAGTCCACTCAGCTCCACATCCTCCTGTACCACATCACTCCATCGCTTCTCTAGCCCGTGCCACGCCTGTTTAGCCCCCTCAATCCGGCCAAACAAAAGCTGTTTAGGCATGCGGTGACTTGGCATGCGGGCTACATGGCCCAGCCAACACAGCCTTGCTTGCCGGAGGAGCTCACCGATGGGACTTTGTCCAGATCTTTCAATAATTTGTGAGCTCCTCACACAATCCAGCCTGGTTAAACCCAGGATGGATCGTAGGCAGGCCAGCCTAAATGTTTCTAACCGGCGAAAATGCTCCATTAGGGGAGGGAATAACCGTGGCCGAGAAGACCCGAAGCTTCGTGCGGAGCGACAGACCAGGTAGCTTCCACACAGGGTTACGCGACCGATGAAAATATAATGCCGCTCGACTGATTCGGAGTGAGACGTCTGCTGTTAAACCTATACACACACACACCGGTCCTCACCATCTTGGCAGCGTTTCCCCGTGAAGCCGGGGCAGCAGCGCCACTCCAACACGGACGCGAGGCGGTACGCGAGTCGGTACGTCGGTCGCACCGCGCTGCGGTAGCTGCCAGGACGACACACACAAACAAAGATAAAGATCCCCCGTATAGCCTCAACACACCGTTGGGGCAAGTGCTGTTAGCGAGTAGCACAGATAAAGGCCGACACGGCACACAACGAGGGTGGGTTGCGAGCTCGACGCCCGACCGCCTTTGTCTCCCCAGTGGCGATGTTTTTACACACCGCACCAGGTACTCATTTGGGACTGGATCGACCTCGGGGAGACCCAGCACCGGTTCAGATAATTGCCACCGGTGTTGGTGGCCGTGAGCGGGACTCGAACTCGGGTGGCCTGGTTCGTAGCGCAGCGCTCACCGCTACACCAGAGCTCCCCACACGCACACACACACGCGGGCACGCGCACACACACGCGGGCACGCGCACACAAAGATCCCCCGTATAGCCTTAACAGACTGTAGGGGCAAGTGCTGTTAGCGAGCACCTATGAAGGCCGGAACGGTACACGAGTGGGTGGGTGGCCAGCACCACGCCCGACCGCCTTTGTCTCCCTAGCGGCGATGTTTACACACCGCACCAGGTACTCATTTGAGGCTGAGTCGACCTATGGGAGGCCCAGGACCGGTTCAGATAATCGTCACTGGTGTTTGCCGTGAGCGGGAATCGAACCCGGGTCGCCAGGTCCGTAGTGCAGCGCGCTGACCGTTACACACGCACACACACACGGGCGCGCGCACACACACACGGGCGCGCGCACCCCACACGGGCACGCACACACACGCGCACACACGCGGGCACACGCACACACACGGGCACACGCACACACACACGGGCACACACACGCGCACACACTCGGGCACACGCACACACACACGGGCACACGCACACATACGCGCACACACACGGGCACGCGCACACACACACGCGGGCACGCGCACACACGCACGAAGAGAAACAAACTGATTCTCCCCCATAGCCACTGGTGGCTCTGGTCCCAAGCAAACTCGGCAAAAGCGTCGGGCCCCAAGCAGTTTAAGTGGATTTATTTTTGGATGAAAATGGGATCCACAAAATATCAACTCGAATGCAACAAGTCAGATCCTAATGAGCACGAGGAAATTATATATATATTATTGTTAAAGTTTAATCATACTTTCTATTTTGTTAATTATACTACATATTTTCCTCTTGTCGACATCTGTCCCATTTCACTAAATTTCTGTCTCATCTGCATCTCTCTTCTATCATCTCATTACGCTTTTATTTTGTTCACATTTCACTCATCTCACTAAAATATGAACTAAAGGCCCAATGAGTTATACAGCTCTTTTTGAGAAACGACCTGGCCACAAATGATAGCCCAACGAAGTGGCTTATCATGTTGGAATTTATAGCAGCCAAATACTCTAAACGCGTGTTGATTCTAAATGTGGAGGGAAAACCCAGAGGATCCGGAGAAACATCGACCACAGGGAGAGAAACATGCAAACTCCAAATATACAGTCGTCAGGGTATCGAAACCCACGACCTCCTGTATACCAGGCGAGATAGTTAACATCTCCTAGCCACCGTGGCGCCTAAATCCCGTGAGTCCATCCCCTCACTCCATCTCACGTCCCTCCCGTGGCTAGAACTCTTCTGTCATCTCACCCGGAGTTCATCAACTGAATGAGAGGGCCCCCAAAAAAGTTAAGTCTGCTTTAATCAACCCCCAATAGGCCCATCAACCACCACCGACAACCATTTCTTGGTTCTTTCGGTAAAGTCACGTAGAAGGGAAATAATAAAATAATTAAAATAAAACATTATAAAATCATTCTCACGACGTTTCGGCCACAACACAAGCAGCCGTCCTCATGTGAAGAACAGGTCTGTCGGAAAGACAGCGTCATTCAGACGGAAAGACAGCGTCATTCAGACGCGTCATTCAGACGCTGTCTTTCCGACAGACCTGTTCTTCACCTGAGGACGGCTGCTTGCGTTATGGCCGAAACGTCGTGAGAATTATTTTATTATGTTTTATTTTTATTATTTTATTATTTCTCTTCTACGTGACTTTACCGAAAGAACCAAAAAGATTAATCCCTGCAGTCACGTAAGCTTTAAATGAAAATTCACCACCGACAACTTTAAATATCCATGCATATAGATATACACACTATAGCAATTGGGTAAGTGTTGTATTCGATCCTCAAGTGCTGTAATTGTAGCCAACACTACACCCGGCCACCGTTGTCTCCAATGCTGATTGTTTACGCAACGCTTCAGTTACTCTTTTAAGGTTGATTCAACCTAGGTGAGGTCCAGGATCGGTTTAGATCATCCCCACTAAGGGGCCGTCCATAAATGACGTCACGCGATTTCGGACAATTTTTTGACCCCCCCTTCCCAGGTGCGTGACGTCATTTATGGACGGCCCCTAATGGCTGGGAATCAAACTCGGATCACTGGTTAATAGCGTGGCGTGCTCACCACTACGCCCAGGCTCCACCCACAGACGTTTTCTGTTTCAGTTTCATTTATTTGGTAGAGCCCTGTGAGCCATTCGGCTCTTGAATCGGGTGCAACCGCAACAAACAAAAAACAAAAACATGAACAAGAAAACATCTTAAAGTCAGACATTTGTGACTATGTGTGACGAGGGGGGGGGGAGAGGTTTGAGAAATGTGACGTCACATCAAAATGCGCAACTTTAACTAAATATAGACAACACGTTCTACTTAATGAAAACGACTTTGTAATAAATGTTTTCTCCTACAAGATCAGAGTGCAGCGCCACATTAAATACGCACTACAAAGACATTTACGATTTGAAGCATGTTTTTTTTTGGGGGGGGCAGAGTTTGTGACGTCATATTTGAGGGGGGGTCTGACTTTTTGTGACGCCGTCTGACGAACGGGGGGGGGAGGGGGTCAAAAATCGTCCAAAATCGCGTCACGTTATTTATGGACGGCCCCTACGGCAGAATAAGATGGAATGTGATGGTGAGTGAGGTTGTTTGATTGGTGCAGCGTGGATGAGAGGCAGTGGGGGTTTGGTGAAATGGGCATGGATGAGGATAAGTGGTGGCAGGAGCAGAGGTCTGGTGGCAGGACAGTTGAGCCGAAGTAGGAGCACGGCGTAGCGCTGGGGGAGAGATGTGGCATGGTGCACACAGAAAGCAAGGCGTCGGAGCTGGGTCAGGAATTAGGGTCGTCTGGGGAGGGAATAAAACAAAGCAACCATCATTGCGCCCTGTGTCGTCAGATCTCGGCAGCTCAGCAACGCTGATCCAGGCTCGTGCTTTGGTGGGTGTGCATGGGTTACAAATTTGCGCGCTAACTTCAGATGTAATGGGCGTTTACAGCAGCAGAAGGCAGTGCCGTAAAACTCATTATCCTGTCCCCCCCCCCACCACCACCTTCACCAACCCACACAGACCAGAGCGGTGAAGTCTGTTCGATTAAGCCATCACAACGACACGCATGGCACGCGGGGGGGGTGGGGAGGGGGGGGCCTCGTCCAGCAGTGGATCGACACAACGGGCGGTGCGCGTGGCAATGCACCCACACATCATAGGGCGTGATCGAAACGACCTTCGGTGGGTAACTGAAACAAACGAAATTCCGAGAGTTGTACAACCATTACGGGGGGGGGGCCGCCCTCTAACAACGGGAATGCAGCAATGCCCCAACTGAGCATGCCCCCCCCCCGCCGCGCGCCCCCCTTCTCAAAATAGCGCGGAGTAACTCAATGCCTTGCAGACCCCCGTGTCTTTCGCGAACCCCGCGTGTGCGCGTGCGTGCGCGTGCGTGTGTGTGTGCGTGCATGTGCACGTGTCATCTCCCGCCGCTAACGAACCGCCGAGTTTTTATTTCCTGGCATCAAAAGGGCGACGGCGGTGGCAGGCGGCACGGCGGCTTAAGAATGTGGCCGCTACGCTCGCTCCAAATACGAGAGACGAGTGAGAAGGGGTGGGGGGGGGTGGCTAGAAAATCCGCGCAGAGGATGGAGCTCGAATCGAGCCGGGAGATTGTTCTCAGCGTCACGGAGCGTAAAACCATCGCCACGTGGAACTCCGGTCGTCATCCTCGCGGTAGCAGCGGGGACTTTTGGTTGGACCGCCCTCGAACGAAGATCAGGTGGTCACCGCAGATGCGCTTCTGCAGGCCCCGTCTGGAACGCTCTTCCTTCCGATATTCGGAAGCCACTGGAGCGATGTCGCTTTTAAATGGTCGAGATTGAAAACTCGCTTCTTTGGAACTGGCTTTTTGTTTCGAATTTGTTGTACTTCGCCCCCCACCTCCGATTAACGCGATTGCAAAAGTACGGTGCGAAAGAAGTTCAACATGCCGTACATACATCTCCACGGTCAGACTGGTTGCTGTGTTTCGCTACCATCGCCCCCCTCCCTCCCCCACCACCTCAAGTTCCTATATTAACATTGCTCTAGTGCAAGTATAATAGCGCTGTTTATTGCTGGCCGCTTAGCGTTTGGCTCTGTGCTCACAGACATACATTCATAGATCGTAGCCCGTGTGAGGCAGAGGAGCGAGCAGCTCTCAGCACGTGGTTGTGAAACGTCAGACGTCACACCAAACGTCACGCGCTTTGGCACGATCGGTTTTTTTTTGCCATCGTTAACCATTCCGCGGACTTAAAATATCTGCATGTAACCCGATGAGCAAAACGGGCAAGGTTTTATGCGTCTCGTTGAATTTATTGCAATGCCTGGGTCAGCCCCTTTCCTCTCAACCTTGGAAAATTTCCGAATCTAGAGCGAGCGGCTGCTGCTGCTGCTTTGATGCCGCGGCACGTTACAAGTTAACGTCGTTGTTGTTATTGTTGTTGTTGTTATCGTCATGATGACCCGTTGGTGAGCTCACCTGATCTTGGGGGCGCATCCCTTGGCCCAGTGGCAGGCGTGCAGCACGCGCCGCACGTACACCTCGGTGCCGTTGTGCACGGGACACGGAACCCTCCTGCTCACCGGGTACGGGCACCAGTTCCTGCGGAGAGCGGAGAGGCAAAGAGGGTCACGGTCAACACAAAATAAGAAAAACCCTTCAACTTTCGATTTAAAGCTTTCGTGACTGCAGGGATTCATCTTCTTGGTTCTTTCGGTAAAGTCACGTAGAAGGGAAATAATAAAATAATAAAAATAAAACATAATAAAATAATTCTCACGACGTTTCGGCCACAACGCAAGCAGCCGTCCTCAGGTGAAGAACAGGTCTGTTGGGAAGACAGCGTCTGAATGAAACACCACCAGGCTTGGAGCGTATATTTAAGCTGGGTTGGAGGCTCTCTTCCCCCTCCAACCCAGCTTAAATATACGCTCCAAGCCTGGTGGTGTTTCATTCAGACGCTTCTCGAAAGACCTGTTCTTCACCTGAGGACGGCTACTTGCGTTGTGGCCGAAACGTCGTGAGAATTATTTTATTATGTTTTATTTTTATTATTTTATTATTTCCCTTCTACGTGACTTTACCGAAAGAACCAAGAAGATGAACCCTTCAACTGTTTTACTTGAGCAGGTAGGGCTTATCGTCACGTGGAAATGTATAGCAGCCAAATGTTATTCGTGGTTCTTTGGGTAAAGTCACGTAGATATAACTTTTTTTTTACGTATTTTTATTTTTCATATAAATAAAAATAACAATCAAATTCAAGAATATGAATTCCTGCAGTCACGAAAGTTTTAAGCAAAAAAAATTCAGCCAAATACTCTAAACGACATGTCGATTCCAAAAGTGGAGGGAGGAAAACCGGAGGACCAGGAGCAAAAATCCACGCGACCACGGAGAGAGAGGAACACACGCCAACTCCAAATATACAGCACTCGTCAAGCTAGTTAACATCTCGACAGCGTGGTGAGATGTTAAGAGTCCGGCTTGGGCTGGGGGCGAGGGGTTGATGGCTCAGGGGTACGGAGATCTCTCAGCCACCATCGCCTATCCTCTCATCGGGCGTCCAATAAATCACGCCGGCCACTGTCAGTGAGGACGTGGGATGAGGTCATACACAGGCGTAACAAAATACAAAAACTCCACACGTCTGTCACCAACAAGGTGGCCTTAAAAGGGTGAGTGTATAATGAATAGGTGACGTTGCAGGCAGTGGTCCTTCTTGATAGCCTGTAAATAGAGATGCCAGAGAGAGAGAGATAATAAGAGTTGGAGACTGCACTTTTACACCATGAGGCCTGGCTAGAATTAAATTTTAAAAATGTTTCCTAACAGTTTTTACTTTGAAGTACAATACGTGTATCTATTCGAAGCTATTTGAGAGACGCAGCAGAGGTCTTTACGGATCAACTCAAGGAAACTCCAGCTGTCCACGGGATAAGGTATCAGGTCATGGACAAATCGTGGGATGAGGGCGAGGTGTAGAATCACGGTAAGGGCTGTTGCCAGGATCGGTGGAACATCTGAGCAGCACGTGGACAAAGTAGTCACAATGTCCTCGATGGATGCCAGTGCCGGTCACACACTCGCCTGCGACGACAATGCAGCGTAGAGATTTGCACAGCAGCGTCTAACTCTGTGATCGTGTCACAAGACGCTGTCTGCAAACAATGGATGGTGTTGATATTCTAGAGGGGAGGCAGGGGCAAGCGGTTCATGGGCAGGGAAGAAGAAACCACTGAAGATGTTGTGCCTGAACGTGAGCAGAGGTGACAGGGAGTCGACATAATCAGACTATATTTAATGATGCTGGAGGAATCCGATGAGCTATGAAGCTCTTTTTTCACAGATGTCCAGTCGGGGCAGCGTCAGAACGTTACAACAACAAACAACACATAAACACGAAAGGAGTGCCAGGTAAAGAAAAAGATAAACAAATTACTTAACAAATATATAAAACAACTTTTTTTATTTTACAAGATAAAGCCCACTGAGATATTAACTTAAATTTCAGACGCGACCTGACCACAAATGATAGCCCCAACAAAGTGTATTTTCGCGTGGAAATTTCCATCAGCAAAATAATGTCAATAATCTCAGTGCATGTTTCTAAGTGTCCAGAGGAATGGAGTTCCAGACACCCACCCCCCCCAATATAATTCGCTATAAATGTTCTGTGCTGCCACTGTGAGTCTTCATTTCCCGCTACCCCAACCCCCGCTGTCCACCCAGCAATGAGTTACACCAAACATTTCATCGATCGGCTGGTGGGCTGGAGAAGAGATGGACTGACGCGGTACGGGAGGATGTAGAGCTGAGCGGACTTGCCGATGACTGGTACCAGCGGTGTCAAGATCGGCCTCTGTGGAGGAGGCTCGTGAAGGACGCTACTGGGCAGTTGGAGGCAGTCGCCCTCCAGCAGCAACAACGGAGGGCAGAGGAGCGACGCTCACAACAACTATCGGAGAAAGTTGGCCCAGTAGGGGGTACAGCTGGTGTGCATCTACCGGTCATCTCAGTCAGCCAACCCATGGCACCTGGGTCTGTCCCGAGACCTCCTGTCAGCAAGCCTTCGACACTTCACGTGGCTTTCATCTTGGTTCTTTTGGTAAAGTCACGTAGAAGGGAAGTAATAAAATAATACAAATAAAACATAATAAAATAATTATCATGACGTTTCGGCCACAACGCAAGCAGCCGTCTTCACCTTCGTGAGAATTATTTTATTATGCTTTATTTTTATTATTGTATTACTTCCCTTCTACGTGACTTTACCGAAAGAACCAAGATGAATCCCTGCAGTCACGAAAGCTTTAAATCGAAACTTCACGTGGCACCTAGCCTGGCACAGGCGCCGTTGTGACGTCACCGTCACTTCGTAGCGAATGGCGGATGTACAGTATTGGTTGGGGGTAAAGCGTGGGCTGTTACTCCCACCTCCGCCAGTGTGGCAGAGTGGACCAAACAACTCTCTTTAACGCTATAGGGAGTAGAGGAAGGGAGGGGGGCCTCTGTCAAGCGAGGGATCTTCCTCAAGCAGTGGCGTGTGTAAGGAATTGCAGCGCTGCACCTGGTCCTGACTTCACTCCCTGCCACACTTACCGGGACAACACTGACACTTTTGTTGCACTTTTTCGTCATTTATTTTTGACCCACGGAATCGAGGGCAATTACGCAGCGGAAAAGGATCGAGTGTCCGTCACGGCCGCCTCCCGCCGTCAGCCAACCCACGCACCCACCCTCTCTAGCCCTGTGGTTATTCCTCAGTGCAACAGGTGTGTGTGTGTGTAGTGTACTAATCATAGTAGGGGAGCGGTAGTGTTGCAGTGGTGGATAGCGCTCTGCGCAAAGAACCCGAGTTCGACTCCCGCGCACGCGGCCACAAACACCCAGTGACGATTATCTGAACCGGTTCTGGGCCTCCCCTAGGTCGACTCAGCCTCAAGTGGGTACCTGGTGCGATGTGTAAACATCGCCACTGGGGAGACAAAGGCGGACCGGGCGTGGTGCTGACCACCCACCTCTTCGTGTGCCGTGCCGGCATTCATAGGTGCTCGCTCACAGCACTTGCCTCAAACGTCTGTGCACGGCTATACGGGGGATCTTTGTCTTTGGATGGATGTTGGTGAAACAGATGCTGGCGGTGATCGCGATGGAGATAGTAATGGTCGGTCGGTGATTGATGAGAGCGGTGAAAGTTTAGCGGAGGCCATAATGGTTGCGGTAGAAACGGAGCTTCTAGTGGAAGATGATGATGGTGACGGAGGAGATGGTGATCAAGAAGATACAAGTTGGTGGTAGTGGTGGTGATGATGGCGATGGTTATGAAGTTTACAGTGGCGATACGAGCGGCGGTCCCGAACTATAAAGCTTTTAAAAAACATTGTCCCAACCATGGTTCGGGCACCTGGTAAGGATGCCCCCACCCCGATAGACCCCACCCGGACATCTACCGGGCAGCAGCAGCAGCAACATCCCACTGGGCGAAGACCCCGGGGCCGGCCCAGGACACGCTGCTGCTGGCGGGACGACGTCACTCGGCTGGCCTGGGAACGCCTGGGAGTTCCCCGGGAAGAGCTAGAGTCTGTGTATAGTGTAGTGTATAGTGTAGTGTATAGTAGTGTATAGTGTAGTGTATAGTGTAGTGTATAGTAGTGTATAGTGTAGTGTATAGTATAGTGTAGTGTGTAGTGTATAGTAGTGGATAGTGGTGTATAATGTAGTGTATTGTTGTGTATAATGTAGTGTATAGTGTAGTGTATAGTGTAGTTTATAGTAGTGTCTAGTATAGTGTAGTGTATAGTGTAGTGTATAGTGTAGTATTGTATAGTAATGTAGAGCTACAGTCTGTCGCCAGGGAAAGCGAGGTCTGGACCGCCCTGCTCAACACGCTGCCGCCACGACTCTTACCAGGACAAGCGGACTGAAAAACGAACGAATCTTTTAAAAACATCAATGCATTTTTATCTGTGCGGAGTGATGATTGCGATAGAATGATGATTAGTATCGCTTCCTTATGTCTCAGCTGCTGAGCTGCTGCAGAGTCGATCCTCAGACCCCAGAGTCAAATGATTCCAAAGCAACTCCAACCTTACAAGGTGGCCAGGAGATGCCAGTAAAACAATGGATGTTTAGACACGTCTGTTTTGAGGCTTAACGTTCCAACTCGAATCGTCGACATACTAACTCCGGTTATTATACCTCGACACTTTCTCACCTTGGAAATTCTCTCTCATCTTCTTGGTTCTTTGGGTAAAGTCACGTAGAAGGGAAACGTCGTGAGAATTATTTTATTATGTTTTATTTTTATTATTTTATTATTTCCCTTCTACGTGACTTTACCGAAAGAACCAACAAGATGAATCCCTGCAGTCACGAAAGCTTGAAATCGAAATTTAATTCTCTCTCACTCGAGTCCCTTCACGGTCGAAGTTCCAACGCGTATTCTAGACATTGGAACTTTTGCTCTAAAAACTTTAACTCTTGAAGTCCTAACGCCAACAAACCCCACAGGTGGTTCCGACTCTCCGCGTTCGAACTCTTGCTCTAGACCCTGGAGTCGGCCAACCAAAATAACAGAGATTTATTTTTTTATTTAGAATTCGGTATAATAAAACAACAAAAACCCTCAGTATATCAAGAGCCGCAATGCATTGTCTAGGTCAGGGGTCGGCAACCTACGGCTCCGGAGCCGCATGCGGCTCTTTACGGGCTGCTTCTTGACGATGAGTACGTATGTACTCAGATGCATTGCGGCTCTTGAAATACTGAATTTTGTACCGAATTGGAAAGAAATGGCTCTTCTTGTTATTTTGGTTGCCGACCCCTGGTCTAGGTGAACACGAGACGGTGGGGGTCTTTAATAAACAGCTGTCACGAGGCAGCCCTTAAGGAGCGCTTGTGCGGCTACTGCTGCCGTCCCCTGCATCAGCACCCTTCACGGTAGAAGTTCCGACGCGTATTCTCGACATTCAAAAACTCGTATTCTTTGGGTCTTTCGGAAAAAAGTCACATAGATAGGTTCAAAGAAAATCACAAAAAAAAACTACGACGTTACGATCACAACACAAAGAAAAGAAAATGAATTTTTGCAGTCACGGAAGCTTTAAGTCAAGATTCAAACTCTCCTTGCTCTACTCTTTGGTTCTTTCGGTAAAGTGACGTATAAAAAGAAAAGAATAATTTAATACTAGCATACGACGTTTCGATTGCAACACAAGCAATCATCATCAGGTATAAATGAAATAGAAACACAAATCTAGTATACTTAGAAATGTAATGTAACACAACAGAGAGTCGGATAACATAACAGTCAACACCCTACCTGGTTGATTACGTTCTTCCTGAGAATGCAACATTTGAGCGAGAGATCAAACACAGAACCTTGCTCCTCCAACTTCAACTCCGGAAGTTCTAACCCCCGCCCCCCCCCCCCAGGTGGTTCCAACTCCACGTGCTCTAACTCCAACTGACTCCAACCATTTCAGACTCTGTCTCCTCGACAGACCTGCACGGTGCAGAAACTCGGCTTTTCTTTATAGAGTACATAGTGCAAGTGGATCACAAGGTAAACTATTAAGTTTAATGCGTGGTAGCTGCTATTAAAACATTTATTTAACGTGTAGTTTAAATGTTACATTGCAACCAACAAGGGCACATCTTGAATTGCAAACGAGTTACCAACTTCAATTTAAAGCTTTCGTGACTGCAGGGATTCATCTTCTTGGTTCTTGAAAATGCTTTTCAGACGCTGTCTCCTCGACAGACCTGTTCTCCTACCTGAGGACGGCTGCTTGCGTTGTGGCCGAAACGTCGTGAGAATTATTTTATCATGTTTTATTTTTACTATTTTATTATTTCCATTCTACGTGATGACTTTACCGAAAGAACCAAGAAGATGAATCCCTGCGGTCACGAAAGCTTTAAATCGAAATTTGACTCCAACCAACTCGCGCATCTCGACGTTCTAGCGCTTACCCGCCGTTCGCAGTGGGCAGCATGGATCGAGGCACCGCGGGTTGGCCTCGTGCCCAGGGTGAGAGCTGCTGTTGCGCAGAGGTCGCGCCCCACGGGAGCCGATGAGGAAGGAGGAGGAGGCTGCGCCCAGCAGCAGCAGCGCAGAGCGAGCAGCAGCAGCAGGAGCAGCGGCGGCGGCAGCGACACGAGTAGAGGCGACCCCATCATCTTCCCTCTCCTCCCTCCCTCGTCGTCTTCTGTCTCTTCGTCTTCCTCCTCTCTTCTTCTCCGCTGCTGTTGTTCAGTCCTCCCCACACCTCTTCTTCTCCCGATGCTCTGCCGCCTCTGCTTCCCGTGTCACTCCTCCGCGGCGTGCGACTGCGGCGCCCTCGGTACGCTCCGAAATGCAACGATCAGGCTCAACGGTGCCACCTCGGATGTGAACTTAAAGCCGTTCCTCGGCATCAACGTCAGCCACGCGCAGGCGACGGAGGCTCCTCTAACGTTGCTCCTCGCCCAACCTCCTGCTCCTCCTCCACTCCTCGCTTGCTCTTCAGCCTCCTCCTTCTCCCCTCCACTGCTGCACCTCTTACTCTCTCTCCTCCGTTGCTGATCTTCAGCCTCCTCCTCCTCCCCTCTCCTCCACTGCTGCAACTCTTCCTCTTACTCCTCTCTCTCTCTCCTCCGTTGCCGATCTTCAGCCTCCTCCTCCTCCCCTCTCCTCATCCACTGCTGCACCTCTTACTCTTGCTTCCTCTTGCTCCCCTCTCCTCCGTTGTCGATCTGCAGCCTCCTCCGTCCTCCCTGCGCTCAGCACATCAGCATCACTCCGCTGCTGCTGCTGCTGGGGACGTGCAGGCGGCTCCTTATGTTGCGCTGTCGCTTAGAACAAAGCGGCGACCCGTGCGGGTGTGTGAGTGTGGGTATGTATTGTATGTGGATGGATGGATGTATGAGGGTTGCTGTGTGTATATATATTTGGGGGGGGGTGTGGTTTTCTGTGTGTGTACGTGAATGTGTGCGTGAATGTGTGTGTGTGGCCTGCGTTTTTGTGTTGTGTGTATGAGATTACGGGTACGTGTGTTTGTTGTGAGCTTACGGGTACGTGTGCGTGTGTGTGTACGTGCTGTCGCTAACAGCGTGTGTCTGTATGTATCGCTCACGGCACTTTCCCCAACAGTCTGGTCAGGCTATACGGGGATCTTTGTTTTTGTATGTATATGGGTGTGTGTGTCTGTATGTCTATGTGTGTCTATATATATGTGTGTGTTTATTTCTACTTCTGTGTTTGTATGCTTGTGCCGATGTGTATACATGTATGAATGTACGCGTGTATCTGCGTGTGGGAACCCAGCAGTAATCGCGAGCTACGGTTAAATCTGGAACACGCCGTCGGGATCAACTCTGCATCTGTTGTGAGTCGCTAGGCACACGAGGTTTAATTGTGCCCCCCACCTCCCCTTCCTCCTCAGACCCCCACCCCATCCACCCCATCTCCTAGGACCCCCCCCCCATCACCCACTCTGAAAACACAAGGCGACAGAGTTCGGGGCCAAGTTAGGAGGGAGGCACTGACGGTCCACAATAGGCTGTGTGTGTTCGTGTGTGCATTATGCACCGTTAGCGAGCACCTATTAAGGCCGCGTGTGTAATAACCATTCAGAACGACGACGGCCGATGGACAACTACACTGATGCTGTACTGTGCGGCTGTGGCAGCCAAGGAATGGAACGCGTTTCAGAGGGAGCGTCAGCCGAGGAGATGGAGCGATGAAATCACTTCGTGTCCAGGTGCGAGGTGGATCAATCGTCGGGTTCGTGAGAGGTGGCAGCGACTTGGGGTCTTCATCCAGCAGTAGATTGATTATTGCCGACAATGATGTGTATTACCAAGACAAAGATCCCCCCTCCCCCGTATAGCCTTAACAGACTGTTAGGGCAAGTGCTGTTAGCGGACGCCTATAAAGACCGGCACGGCACGCGAGGCGGTGGGTGGCCAGCACCATGCCCGGCCGCCTTTGTCTTCCCAGCGACGATGTTTACACACCGCACCAGATATTCATTTGAGGCTGAGTCGACCTCGGCGATGCCCAGGACCGGTTCCGATTATCGTCACTGGTGTTGGTGGCCGTCAGCTGGACTCAAACTCGGCTCACCGAGAGTGTAAGCGCAGCGCGCCTTCTGCTCCGCATGCGCACACAATTTGGCACTCTCTTCGACTTGTGAAAATGCCCACCTGCAATCAATGAGCAGAGCCGACAGCGCGATATGTATATGCTGCCTGCGTTGCTGCGTGTGTGGTGGCGGGGGTGGGAGGAGGGCACGTGGATGGCATCAGAGGGCAGTGAACCCCAGTAAATATGCAACACTGGAGCCAACGTTAGCACGTGGTTGGTCCAAAACATTGTTCCGAGATTTCGTATTTGCTGGGAAACGAAATCCATCGTTGCACCGATTCGTGCACGCTCCCGTACCTGCTTCCCGCCTTCACCAACTCGCTCTGACCGGCGTGGCAAAGTGTGGTCAAATAATCCCCCCACGACCTGCATTGCCTGGGGAGGTCCCCCATCCAGTAGGTGGATTGATTGACAGACATGTACTGCATATTGGGCGTGAACAGACACGTGTCTTAGCAGGGTCCCCCAAATTGCCATTTTCCACGACGCACCACGGTTACATGATCGCATCAGGTTTACCCACTCACCTCCGTTCAAGTACACATTGAATCGTGATGGCACGCTGCACACACGACCGATGATTGCTAAACGCGTCTCCACGTGCAGAGCACTCGCGAGGCGCATCTCAGTTTGACGCGTCTCTGCGTCACGTGGGGAGGGGGGGGAGTGTTGTTGAACAATCATCGGGCGCGTGTGCAGCGTGTAATGAAGCACGCGTCTTCCATTCGCAAGAAGGTAACTTTGTGACGTTACTCGGTTGCGCTGCGAGCAGGTGAAGACGTTTCGCGATCGACCCGGGGAGACGGTCGTCTCGAGGTTTTAAAACTTCGTTAGTGGCTCAGCGATGACCCCTGGCGGGCAACCCTCCGATGAGACTCGAGCGAAGAATTTTTTGATGATGCTATGCAGTTTATACTTTAGTTTTTTATGTAGTTTATACTTTAGTTTTCTACGTGGTTGTTTAGTAACTGCAGCTACATACTATTAACATTCCTTTCCTTTGTTAATGCTACTCCCTGCAGCCTCCCTTGGTGCTGTTGATTCTGCATAATGCATGGGCATAATATAACTTTGAAAGCCCCCGCCCACCTCCTACGCATTTGCCATGAATATGCTAAATTCCTCTTGATATGCACATTATTTTTGTTAAGGCGCTCTTCTCGCACCTCCAACCCAGCTTATATATAAGCTCCTAGCTTGGCATTGGCTCATTCTTCACCTGAAGACGGCTGCTTGCGTTGTAGCCGAAACGTCGTGAGAATTATATTATTTTATTATGTTTTATTTTTATTATTTTATTACTTCCCTTCTACGTGACTTTACCGAAAGAACCAAGAAGACTCGAGCGACGCTTGAAGCGTCCCACATTCATCCGCAGACAATAAATTTGGCATCCCGGTGGTTCGACTTCGTCACAAAACGTGTCGCCGTTGCGTCCGCGCGCGAGAGAGGTCCTCCTGGGGCCTGAGTGGCCGAGTGCGAGGGATGAGAACGGCTGCGGCGGCAGATCCGTGGCGACACCGTCGACCCAGCCTCGACCTCGATGCGCAAACTCCCGCGGACAATCCCGCGGTTCAGATGGCGGTCGACGGTCGAAGTGAGGACTGCGACCCAGCCCCCGTAATCCGTGGATCAAACAAATCACTTGATACGCACGTGTCTGGCAGCCAAGAGGGGTTTGTGCGAACGCCGTCGCGAGAGAGGTCAAAGTTCTTATGAGCACTGTTTCATTGCTTTTATGGCTTTATTTTGGTGATTTTCGAAAAGTTGTTTAGTTTGGCTATGTTTGTTTGTTGTAGTACAGAGTTAGACTGATGGCCTTAATCTAAGTTGTCTTGTGGTTGTTGTTGCTGTTGTTTGACTTGCATCCCATTGGGATATTTGCACAGGGTTGGTGTACGGTGATTTTTCTGCAACATTTTGCTGTCTTTTCTTGGATTTTCTGTTTGCACTTAGTCACTTTAACATGTTTTCTTGTTCATGTTTTTGTTTTTTGTTTGTTGCGGTTGCACCCGATTCAAGAGCCGAATGGCTCACAGGGCTATACCTAATAAATGAACTTTGAACACGCTTGGCGCGACGGCTCCTTCGCTGACCATGCGCGCGATGAACGAATGAATGAATATTATCCGCATCAAAGAAAATACAGTTTATATTTATATATATATACACGCAACTGTTGTTTTACACGTCTCGTCAAGCACAATGCCTTCTCAGAGTGCGTAGTCTCAGCAGCATGGTTCAAGACAGGCAAACTCTGGACCGGCTTCGGCGCACACGGTGCCTCATCGGTAGAGACAATCAACGAGGACAGTGTGGCGTCCTGTACATAGTTGATAACTCATCTTCTTGGTTCTTTCGGTAAAGTCACGTAGAAGGGAAATAATAAAATAATAAAAATAAAATAATTTTCACGACGTTTCGGCCACAACGCAAGCAGCCGTCCTCAGGTGAAGAACAGGTCTGTCGGAAAGACAGCGTCTGAAAAGCATTTTCAAGAACCAAGAAGATGAATCCCTGCAGTCACGAAAGCTTTAAATCGAAGTTGGTAACTCGTTTGCAATTCAAGATGTGCCCTTGTTGGCTGCAATGTAACACTTAAACTACACGTTTAATATATATATTTTTAAATAGCAGCTACCAGCGCATTAAACTTAATAGTTCACCTTTTGATCCACTTGCACTATCTACTCTATAAAGAAAAGCCGAGTTTCTGCACCGTGCTATTTTGTGGGGTAAGCTTTTGCCAGGATACCCCATTGAAGCACAACACGTACAGCGAGACACGTCACGTCTCGCTTCACCGCGTTATCTACTAACGGTGTCGGGGCACAACAAATTAACGCTTTAACTATAACACTGGTCAACAAAAAAAAGCATTTTTTTCTGGCCTGGACTTTTGCCGCTGTTTTAGATTAATTTAAGGGTGCTGATTCCAAATCTGATCTCAGATTTGCTCTATCACATCTCATTTTATGCTATCGGCATAGCTCATTTTCATTGATTTTACCCGAAATTAACTCTGTCACTTCATGATTGCAAGTTGTTGCGAGTCAGTGACTGCTTTAGTGTTAAAATATGGTGCTGTATCTTTAGGATAGTGTGTTTATAATATCATTTTATGTAGATATACACATTTATTTAATATTTTTCTTCTGCAGTTTTGATTGAAAATGCAAATTTGATATCTCAAAAACCTGATGTGATAGACAAAAACTGATGCCAAATTTGGAATCAGCACCCCTTAAAATTACCTTAAAACCCGTTGGAATACCTTATGCCAGAAAAAGTGTGTTGACCAGTGTTATTTATTTTACCAGGCAAGGCTCACTGAGCTATATAGTAGCTCGTTTTCAGAAGCGACCTGGCCACAAATGATAGCTCAAAGAAGTGGCTTATCTTGTAGAAATGTATAGTAGCCAAATACTCGAAGCGAGTGTTTCTAAATGAGGAGGGAAAACCCCGGAGTAGCTGGGGGAGGGGGGGAATCCACGCCACCACGAAGAGAGAGATGACGCAAATTCCGAATATACGGCACGCGTCAGGGTGGACATGCAAACTCCAAATACTGTGCATACAGGCGTCAGGGTCGGGATCGGGATCGAACCCACGTCCTCTGCATACCAGGCGATGCAGATAACATCTAGCTACCGCGGCGCCCCGCCAAATGTTTTCACCGCAACTTCCGTCGTCCGTCTAAGGTTTAGAATGAGAAATGTATTTCCCGAGTAAATCCCCGTAGACGTAAGAAGCCCTTTTTCTCAAGTGCGACTTGGCCGCCTGCAGACAACATCAAAGCATTACCACAATGACAGTTCACGGAGGAAGAGAAGGGAGCCGGGGGACTTGGCCGACAGGAAAGAGCAAAGATGAGTACTTTGCACAAGCGAGGGCATTCTCCTGCAAGAGACAGGGACATGTCTCTCGGGGGCTCTTACCTGGCTAAAGCCAAGCACGGATGCGTTAAGAGCATCCAGGCAGTTTTGTATTCTAACAGAGGCTTGGGGTTGTTATTACACGTGGCTCCGCATTACTGAAACATCTGGATACTTGAGTAAGAGCGTGGAATTGTGAATGATTGTTGTGAAAACGATGTCAAGTAGACTAAACGTGCGATTCATTGGCTGTTGAAGAGCGGTGGTACAATGGTTAATTCGTTGCGCCATGACACCAGCAACCCTGAGTTTGATTGCTGGTCATGGATAACATCCGTGGCCGGTGGCATATTGAAAATTACTGAAATTAGTTGTTGTGTTTATAGTAAGTTATA